TATGTTCCTAAATTTTAGAAAAGCTTTCGACTGTTTCTGTCATGGTAAATGCTAATCACTGAACTTGAAAACATTGGGCTACTGATTAACATAGTTTAGTGGATTCGCTATTACTTTATCAGCAGCAAGCATTTTGTTCACGTCCAAGGCGACAGCTGTGGCGTTCTACCCTTAACATGGATGAGGCCCAAGGGCAGCGTCCTAGGGCCTTCATTTTTTCTCATCTTTATCAATGATATAATTTCATCAGTTGATACATCGGCAATAAGCCTCAAACTTTTTGAAGAGGACTGCATTTTTTAGGAGCCAATAAAAAGTGGAAGCAACAGGAGTTATTGCGGGAAAACCCACGTTCTTTTTCCTTTTGCTTCAATACCTAATCAATAGAGTTAAACATAAGTAATTCAGTCACTTTGCAAATATAAGTAAAATTTACCCTTTTACATTGTGATACATCTTGAATAATAATTCCTTGACAAAGCGAACAGTTTTAAATACATGTAAGTCAAGAATACCAATCAACTTTTGTGGACCAACCATATTGACGACGTTTGTTCGACTTCCTCTTTAGATAAATAGAGTTTCTGAGACACAAACAAAAAAAAATGCTCCATCCTAGATCAAATTTCTTCCACGCAGTACAGTTATTGGGCCCCGTTTAGACAACGCATGCATTGCCTAGGACCTTTAGTGTAAAAAAGACATTCAGAAACTCGAGATAGTCCGGAGGAGGGCGGTAAGATCCTTCAATAAAACCTCTCGAAGTCTTGATTGACCTTCATCACTTATGGCTACTAACAACATTCAACTTTCGAAACAGCGTAGATCTATTGCAAAACTCACATTTGTTTCTGCTTTGAAATAAACAGTTTAATATCAGTACTCGTCAATAGCTCTCTTCGTCTTCTTCTAGGCAAACCAGACAAAATCACAATCGTATTTTTACACCATACTTTGCACGTACTGACTTTTTCAAACACATCTTGTTTTCGTGAACCATTAGCGAATGAATACATTTTCTACATATGTCTTTCCTGGACATGAAATTCCTGACTTCAAAAAATACATGCATCTTTTCGCTTAGACAACATTGGTAATGCTATGCTATGTAACGTCATTTCGTGATTTCATTATATTGCTTTGATTTTTTGCTTGAGACTGTTTTTAGAATTTTGTGCAGTTTTTTCCAGTAGGTTATATCAGCGTCGTTTAAGACCATTCTGGTCACGAAACTTCTCCGCCACTCTATAAGAGAGCTAGATATGCTGCCAAGAGCGGCCGTCCACGTTCAAAGTCGACGGCATGAAAATTCGAATTAGCAATGCTTAAGACGTGCTGTGTGACGAGCTGCAGCTCCGGAAACAGGAGCAACAAGAAACAGGCGTCGCCCTTCTGTTTCCCAGTAGCGCCGAACTTCGGGATAAGTGTAGATTACATTTCTTCACGCGAGAAAAAAACTAATCCTCGCGGGCAACTGTGCGTGGTTCATGCTCGGTAAGTGGAGGGCAGAAGCCACAGTGTTAAGCATAATGGCTGCGTATGTTCTCGGGGGTCAGCGTGCGCTGCTTCGTATCCCGCCATCCCTTGATGCCCCAGGATGCAGGTGACGTAGGACAGAAAGCAGGACGTGAGGGGACAGAAAGCAGAAAACTTGACTGGGTCCCACCCCTCTCCCCTTACAAGGCACTGAGTGTGTAACATTACTGAACACAGCCATAATAGTGTCCAGTGCTTCTCTTCTCCAAGGCGTTGTTCTCTGTGTATTTTGTGTAAATATAACATGTTTTCAAACTTGCTCCTCATTAAATGCATTGATGGGAAGCTTCCATTCATAGGTACACACATAAATACTAAGCAGCGTATCATTAAAACCAAATTTCAGATTCATTGCATGCTTTAGATTGTAACCCTGCACCTCCTCCCCCAAGCATAAAAAATATGGTATGGTATCTAGGTGTTGTGACAAAGGTCGCCGAGGAGCTAGCACTGGCATCGAAAGGAACTTTCTCATTAGGCTGCTGAACTTCCCTTCCCCAAAAAATCGTGGATTGTCAGCCGGTAATTAATGCTGCTCTACGCAGTAAACATAAGGAAACGTCAAGAGATGGATGCCTGGACTAAATTGCGTGTAAAAGGGGATCACTCAGATGTTAGGCACGTGGACCTGGTACCAATTCAAGAAGCACCCTTAATACTGAAGCGAGTGGGCACAAAAGCGCTAAGCTGCTATAACCGCGACATCGAAAGTACCCGGGTAAAGAAAGCGATCGGCGCTCACAAACGTATGCCCAGAACAACTGCACACTTGGGTGCAGGCTCAATTGAAAGGTGTAGAATAAAACATTTAGCTGGACCATTCCCTTCATTCGATTACTTGGGTAGCAGCGCGCGAGAGACAAACCGAATATAAACCAATGCCATTGTCCCTGACTTACCTAGTCGTGTTTCATTCCGTTCACCTTCCTCGCCATATTCGCGGCACTGCCAGAATAGAAAGCTCTACTACTACATAAACAGAATCGCCCTTTGGCCAGGCGCGAACACGTTGTCGAGCAGATGCAGCAGCAGCTGCTCGCATTTGGAGCATGAGCATAGTCTCTAAACACTAGCGAGCAACGACGTACCGCTTCGAGGCATCGTAAGTACGCATATAATTGGGCTATGAGGTAATTCTTAACACAATATGTTATCGCGCGGTGTAAAAACACTTTAAACGCGCTGCGATTTATAAGGTTGGTCCGCACTCCTAAGCAAACTACGCGCGCGTTCTTAAGTAAAGAGCTTTCTATATTCGTCGACACTGGATCACGTTTATACGGATCCAATGGCATTGCTGTGCTCAGTGACGTTTAATAAAAGGTAACAGGAAGAACAGCACGCACATAATGACGTCAAAATGTCGGCAATAGTGCGCATATAATCCCAGCACTAACAGCTGCTTGTGGCCCCCTTACGACTGGTGGCGCCACTAGCGGGAGATTTTGTCCCTATATCAACCTTTCAGCGGAGTTTCGTGACCAGAAAGCATTGAGAGACTCTGGTTATATTTAATTAGCCCGGTTTAGTATGTTTGTTTTTCAGTTGTGTAGCGTAAGATTGATAACTCGCTGCATAACCTGTTAACTTTGTTTTCACTGTGTTCCCTTTTTTCGCCCCTCCTGATTGGTGTACGGACTGCAGTATGTAGTGAATAAATATGAAATAAATAAATTATGAGAGTGTAAATGCGATTTACAATTCGTTAATACCACTGATTGTTCTCGAACCACAGATGGTCGGAGACGTGGTAGCCGAAGGTAATGCGCCACTGGAGAAACTGCCGCCGAAAACGGGCGTTCACCCCGGCGAACGCACGCCCGCAATCATCACATTCATGCCGTAACACCGCGTGGCTGCAAGCGTTTGACATGGCGAGCTAGCTCACAACACAGCAAATAGAGCGCGTACTTGGGCACGACGCCGCGCCCGACGTAATCGATAACGCAGCCGATGGAGACCACTATTGACAACATTGCCACTTGTCTCTTTTTTTGTTTTACCTAGCCATATACAGCTTTCATTATGAAAAAAAAATCTGCAGAATTTATCCGCAGCCTGTATTCAGTCTCATCTAAGCGACTTATAGTGTATTGAAGAAAAGAAGACATTTATATAATGGGCTCAATTATCATCACAACGAAATGAAGACAGGAGATCGGCGTTTGAGCACTTTGATATTTGTGCCGCCTGCGTACTTTTCGAGCTACCACTGCTTGTTCGGGTCACTCAATGAACCTCTTTACAATAGTTTAAATGCACTTTACATCACCATTTACAGTTTGGGTAAACGCAAGAGTACAAGTTTATGTACGAACGTGACAGTTTATGCATGGGTAGCTAAATCTTTGAAAAAAAAAACATGCGTTCCAGCAACACCGGACACGTTAACTTTAAAGAAAGTATACTAATTCACTAATTCCAGTGACACGTAAGGTTTAAAAAGTATACGTAAAAATTAAGGTTCATAATTGCGCACCCATGGTATACAATTCAGAATAAAAAGTGTACTGCGCATGCGCACTCCTATGTCACTGTTCCGGCAAGCACGCTATTCTGCTAAGCCCGCTATGCACAAAGTATATGTTGTCAAAGATGAGTTATGAAAGTTCATACCTGACACATTGTAATAAAAGTGGATACTCAACAACAAAGCAAATATTTACCTTGCCCTGGCGTGACGTCGATACATTTAAATACCTTGTTCCGGAGCATTTCGCATTTCTGGTGGGCCTGTGGTAAAGTAGACTTGACTGCTTCGCAGATTGCACACGTTTAATTTCGGACATCCAACGCCCTTTTTTCGCTCAGTGACAACTCCACCAGCACTGCATTTTCCGTGATTCTGGCCCCTTATTGGTATTTATTATGGATTGTGAAAGCTTGTAGCTGTTGATTCTGGGTGAATACAGTGTTAACCAATCATGTGATATGCAAAGTCGTTTACCACAGGCTGTTACATGCAAGTGTGCTTTATACATGACTGAAAGAATGTGCTTCATCATGTACATAGCAGGCGTAGTACGCTACTAATGTTTCGACGTGTGGGTTACATTGGCCGTGCACTCATAACTTCCTGTGCGAATTCTGAGATATAGATAGATAGATAGATAGATAGATAGATAGATAGATAGATAGATAGATAGATAGATAGATAGATAGATAAATAGATAGATAGATAGATAGATAGATTTGTTTAAAATGTCTTGGTTCACAGAAAAATGCTTCAGTTCTGAGAACGTTTGCGATCTCTTTGCGAAGCATTCTTTGTTTAAAATAAAGTCCATTTCAGTTTTCTAGCAAATCTATTCTGCCCAATTACGCTATCACGATCTACGCTTCAATGTGAAGCTCGATTGTTCATTGAGTGTCTGCTCGACTTTCTCAAATCACAATGTGGTGTCCTGTAATCGCAGTCTCCTTAGCACTGGAACTGTTTTCATGTTTTTACCCGTTTCTTTTAGTGTTACCCGGATGTCGGCGAGTGGTACCTTATGTACCGGAACTACTACTACGACCCAATTTTCGGAGGTACTGCGAAGTGCCTAAAGTATGCGAAATACGGCGCATACAAAAACTTCAGCTCTCCGGCTATATATACGTTCGCAGGAAACGAAAAAATGTAAGTATGTCATACTCATATGGCTCGCACAACAATGCATTTAAGTATTTCGTTTTTCATATTCGTAAAGAATATTCTAACACTTCATCGTTTTATTGTATAGGTTGTTAGAATACGAAACCTTTTGAAGAGGTATAGATGAATAGTTGACTTGGTAATTGGTGAACAACCTTGAAGTTAAATTGGTGAACCTTGAAGGAACAGAGGAACTGGGTGTGTTTTTTTTATTTTTATCTTTCGAATTTCTTTCTTTTTTTCCACTGAAACCTGAAAGTGGTTCACGCCGGAATTCCGCACAGTCGCAGTGACATGTTTTGGTCACGAATACGACGTAAAGTATACACTAACAGCTCGTGAGCTGTTCTTTTTTGTTCTGTTCTGTTTTGCTGTGGAGAGTTTGAGGTTCATATTGCCTCGGCTAGTACATAGCAATACGTTCTGCATAAAAAAAACTAAAAAATTATACTGAACGATGGTCAATAATGAACAAAAAACATATTAGCACACTGAAACCAGTTGAAATATCATGCCAATGTAAACTTCGTTTGCAGCAGTTCACACAGTCATTGTATGTTCACACGCAGACCTTTCTTTCATAGGATGTCCACACGCAGACATCGTTTCATATATGTCAACCCATGGCTTTCTGTCACAGGTGCTGATCCATTCCGGTCTCAACTAAAAAGACTGTTAGGAAGATGTTCCCTTTTTTTCTAAAACTGCATCTGAGTCCATGGTCTGAGTAATTTCGGTAATGTTAGGGGCGTCTGTCCAAACTTGCTAGTTTGTTCCCCACTTTTTCTCTTTCATTGGCGTATTTGACGCACTCAAAAAGATTATGGCGAACATTTTCTTCTGCATGACCACAATGGCATTCCGGAGAGTTAGATATATATATTTTGTTCAGGAATCTGTTAGAATGCTGGTAGAATGTTCAAAGAATGCTACTTTCAGTTTAAGTGTGTGGATTGAGGTCTCTGAATGTCGTGGGAGATCTGTCGCTATTGAACATTTTCTGTACAGATCAACTTCTTGAAGTAATAATTCTTTGGATTTAGGGCTATCAAACCACTTCTCCATTGAACAAGGGCATTGTGTTATAAAATGTGGAGTATCTGGCCAGACATAGAGATCGTGAAGTCCCATCCTTCATTCAATGCTTGCCTGGCGAGGCTGTCAGCCTCTTCATTTTCCTTTATTCCAGTGTGACTGGGTGTCCATTGGAATACAATATTGTGACTCTGCGCTGAGGCATATTCTACCTTTTGTGCAATACATTGTGCTATTTCGCCATCTTTGTAAAGTGGTCTCGCATTTTTGATTAGCTGAAGGGCACGTTTGCTATTCATGCATTTCAATCACTTTCGTGGCTCAGAATTCTCGCAGATAAGCTTAACCGCTTCAAAGGTAGCCAATAATTCTGGTGTCGTTGATGAAGAATTGTGCGATGATTTGTACATTGTCTTTTTTCTGCAATTCGGGTATAAAGACCACACAGGCTGACGCTTTTTCAGTGCATAATTCATCTTTATATATTTTTGTTTTTTCATTGTGCATTATATGAAAATGGTGAAGTACCATCTGTGTTCTAGTAGAGGTGCCATGTCTGCTTTCTACCGTATGCCATCTCTTTCACAGATAACGTTCAGAATCGGAAGCGTTCAAGGTGATTTCGAAGGTTTCCATTGTTTAAATGCTCTTACAACTGCTTTAAATGATGGCACACTATCCTGTAATAACGTTGCCGTACTTTTCGTTAGTTCTCTTTCTGGAGGTTCTCGGCCACGCCAGCTCACTCGTGTAAAGAGAACACGCTGAAATCTCCGAGCTAGCTCAGAGTGCCACCGACGGTATATGGGGCATATGAATACCTCACCGTCTTATACTTTGTTTTCTTCCTTTATCGCTTCCTTAATATTTAGGCTATCAATTCCTTCAATAAGAAAATTATTCATAACGGACGTCGGAGAAATGCAAAGTCTGCAGCGACAGCGTTCATACCTAAAGTTGATTTTAAGAATTATTTAAGACATAATAAAATATTAGCGAAGAAATTTCGGCCGAAATAACTAATATATGCGAAGTTATGTAATTCGTTATTGCCATTGCTATCGCTTTCAAAATACACATCTAATGCTTTTTTTTTGCAAAACAGGCGTGCTGAGAGCAACAATGCACTATCTTAATTGATACTGAAACTTCCAGTACTACCTGGGTGGAATATTTAAATTCGCGCAACAGGTTGCCCGACTTTAACCGCTAAATTTCTTCACAGTATACGCAGGGTAAGTTATTTTGAATTCCACTTCGAAAAATAAAAAAAAACAAGTCATGTACTCGAGCGACATCTTGTCATTGCATTTGACTGGAGGACTGAGAACTTCAGACTTTTGCCAGCTGGTTCACGTATATAAGAGTGAAAATGGGTGTCATAAAAACTAACAGAAGATACGGTTTTGTAAGCCCCGCAATTAAACAGAAGAAAATTGACGTTTACTTTATCTAAGTACGTTTTTTTCTTTCGGCTTTCAGAACTGGTCGTCTTGCTCTGGATTCTTCAGAATGTTACGTATCAAAAGACACTCTGGGGTTTATTCCAGATGACCGTAAGTACAGGGAGATCAATACGTACAACACGTGCTCTGTCTACCTCGGCAAGAGGTCACATTTTTTCGTGAAATACGTAACCGAAGAGCAATGTATTGCTTTGCACGAGGAAAGTGATTATAGACTATTGGAAATACATGTCGTTCAAGACTTTCAATCGGGATGCTTAGGCATGCGATGGACCTGCCACTGTACCTCAGTTGTTATGGTGCTTTGGTGCTCACCTGAAGTTCGTGCGATCAAATCCTGGCTCGAGCGGTAGCGCTTAAGATGAAATCTAAGGTGTGTGAGTCGGTATACAATTAGAATAAGATGCATGTTGAAAAGCCCATAGTGGACGACCTTTCCGCAGGCTTCCCCAGTGGCTTTCCTCAAAACGGCATCGTGTTGTCGGGACCTTAAACATCAACAAATAGTATCAGTCATGTGGAGCAGCGGATTCCCGTCTGATTTAATTACTACAACCGTTGTAAATGCGTAGAACAATCCCATTTTACCATGATAGCGTTAAAGAGCACATCTCAGAGAAATTGCAATGTCGGCGTTGGCGCCATTGGTTGTCAGCTAAAATGAGCCATATTCAAGGACGAACGTTTGACACTTGTGAAAATAAACAATAAAATTTTCCGGTTCTTGTAGGAATCAAACCGGCAACTTTTGCGTAGGAAGGGGGTGAGTAACCATAGATCCATACCAGTTCAGAAAGCCGTCTTGAAAAGCAGTCTCGGATATCCAGTGTGAGGATTCTTCTTAAACTTTGCCTTGGTGGAACAGTGGCTGGGGTGCTCGGCTGCTGACCCTAAGGTCATAGGTTCTATACCGGCCGTAGTGGTCACATTTTGATGAAGGCGTAATTGTAGAAGCCCGTGTACTTTGAGGTGTCAGACCTTGCTGAAGAACCTCAAATGGTCGGAATTTTCAGAGCCCTGCACTACCGCACCTCTAGTTTGGAATTCCTATTTTTTTCTTTTATCTTTCACTGCATTCAAAGCGCCGCAAGGACAGCTAAAGTAAGAAACAGGTGTTCCTCTCATGACCGAATTGACAAGTATTCAGTAAATATTACTGTACGTATCTTTTTTGGTCGCACTCTCTTTTCAGCTAATCTGACTCCAAGAGAGTACTACGTCATCTATACGGACTGTGTGACGTGCGCCGTTCTTAGACACCGGTATGCTGCGGAAGGTGGGTATAAAACTTGCATATTGTTGGTATATTTCAAAATAAAATGAAGAATCTTTTATTGTGGCTGAAAAGTTTGCTACAATTGCTGAATTACAAAAAGCAAAGCCTTGAACAGGTAAGATTCTTGAATATACATTGACAAATAAACTACGAGGTAAGTGAATATTGCGAGTGAAGAATCATGTAAGGCAAACCAAGGAGAAATTAGCGTTGTACTTTTGCCAACACTTCCTTTCCCTCCGAAACGTGTTTGCTCGCTACCTGTGCTAGAGTCCGCGTTTTGCCACCGTCTAAATGTGCACCGCTTCTCAAGGAAGTTGCAGTCATGTTTAGGTCGACCTCCGAGCAAACCGAAATTTTTTGTTGATGTGCCAAAGAAATCCTGGCCCTCTACATTTTCTCCAGCGATAACTGACACCAAACAGCTAATCAAGATGGTTACGCCGGACACGTTATGAATACCTGGTTGAGTAAAGAGCCGCGTGTTTGAAGCGTCTGCCCTATGCGGAAGACCTATACTTCAGCATATGGTGTGATTAAAGGATGGCTGCGAGACAGCTACTAGCGTCCTCGGAGGCGGTACGCGGCAGGCTTGTCTTCATAAACAGAAAATATCTGCTATATCAATGGAATAGGTTGTATCAGAACTCCAACATTGGTGCATTGAAACACATCCCCGAAAGGTAATTATAGATGTGAAGAAACAGGCACCAAGAAAAAAAATGCAGCATATTCACGGAGTGAATGTTGATGAGTGGGACGAAGTGTGCGTCCGTCCGTTCATTTATCTGTCTGTCTGTCTGTCTGTCTGTCTGATTGCCTGTCTGTCTGTCTTTCCACCATCTTATCAAACTCATTGCCCAACTCATCATCATTATCTCCATTGATAGGCTGTGTGAATGGTTACGACAACGCAGGAAGGAGGATACATTCAACGACGGCGTAAAAAGGTTCCCCCTAAAAAAATATTTACCATTTCATCAGGTACTATGAATTGAATCCAAAGAGAGTTGACTTGTGGAACGGTTGTACCATTGTTATTAATTTGGCAGGCGTGTGTGTTTTTCAATACTAGCGTACATTTTCAAATATTCCGAAAATTGTCACGGTAACAACATCGAAAAAGAAGAGGTACGTTGTCATAGAATGAAGTTCTAGTTTTTGAGTGTGCAATTGTTCTCCTACTTTCGTCTGGTTTTATTTGGCTAGTTTAAGGTTACAAGTATGTTATGGTCGAGAACAATTCGGTGTGCGTTGTGACCGCCACATGTGCGTCTCCTCGCCCCCACTCCTTTGCACGCCGCACTTCTCTGTCTCACCTATAGGCATCTCTTGTCACGGCGTCTACACATCCCTTGCGCATGCACACCTGCTCCCCCTCCTCTCCTATAATCTCGTCTCTCTTGCTTCGCAAGTCAACGCAGGCATGGTCTGCTAGCCTAAGCTCGTTCCCACTCTTTCACCTCTTCTACGCATACCTTACCACGCCGTTTACACCTCATGCTCTCCTACATTGCCCCTCTATCATCTCACAACGCTGAAAGCGTCTGCTAGCAATTCTTTTTTTTAATAAAAACCAACTGCTAGCGATGCAAAAAGCTTCACTGGCAGTCCCGTATACATAGGCACTGGATCTTGCCCTCTAAGGTAGTTCTGGTGGGACATTTCTTGTGCGCTTTATTGAACAATAAAAATGCACAGCGTGGGCGTTAACTAAAAGTGAACTGTGGTTCTTTGTGCCCAATTAGATTCTTCTTTCTCATTGCCTATTAGCAGTGATTGACATGTTCTTGTACGAAACGCTAGTCCTTCACTGCGCGTTTCGCGCCTCCCCTGTTGTCTCTCCTGCGCAACACCGCGATTAAAACCAGCGTCAATGACACCACCAGCGTAGGCGTTAGCACCACTGCAAAGCAAGTGATGCTAACCATCGTGCGGCCAACGTGAGCTAACCAACGTGAAGTACCAACGTAACCAACGTGAGCTACCAACGTGTGGGCGCTGCTGGAACTATAGTTCCAGCAGCGCCCGCACGTTGGTAGCTCAGGTATGCATGGCACTCCGCACCTCGCAAGCGTGAAGAGGTCTATAATTCACCATTGGTTTACTCTGTCTGGCAGTGCTAAAGCATTTCAATCCAACTTTTTATGGTACGTGCCAGTTATGTGGGGACGCTATTCAAGCCTCAAACATCGAGCAGCAGCCGGATTTATAAATCCGACTATTGCTCCCATGGCAAGACCTTTTGTTTTACAAAATCTCTACATTTCATCTCACACGGTACTATATGTGTTGGCTATTAGACCTAAAGCAGTGCTTGCACCCACTTGATGCCCTCACTTATAGTTTCGGGCTCTGATAGGACAAATGTCTTACAACCCATTTTTAAAGACAACTCATCAAACACTTTCCATTAGTCCTGATTGACATCGTGGCCTATAATTAGTAAAAGTATTGTAGATGGTATTTTAAAATTTGAGGTACTCACCGCTGCTTCGATTGTTTTTTAATTGTTATAATATCCAGCATTTGAAAAATGACGTTCTGCATAGGTTCAGTATATCAAACAATTGCATCCAACCATCACATAAACGCGTGGCATGAATTGCCAACTTGGCTTTTGGTGTCTGCCAACTTTTCAGGCCTCTGCTCACAAGGGATAAAAAGGAAACTGGTTGCACCTGCGACAAAAAATAATAAAATATCATTACCTTGAGACCTTTAGCTCTCATAACAATGAGTGTTGGGTGTTCTCGCTCTCTCACACACATTATCATTATTTTCAGGCTATGGATGCACTTACTGGAGACGTACGACTGCACTGCGAAATTCTGACGACTGCTGTAAATTCATCTACGATGAAAATTGTGGCACTTCACCAAAATACGATATCTACGATGATTCCTGCCGATTGTGAAAAAAGCCCGTGAGGCGATAATTTATTTTTTGTAAAAGTCTTCCCTGATATCTGTTTCCAGTACAGGTGATTTTTTAACCAATCACGTACAAACTATCTCTTCACAATTTTCGCTATTGGTAAATGATCAGCGTAAAAAAGCCTCCAACTGTATGCACCAAGGCAGCTCTGGAGACGCATAATAATCCTGAAATCTAACAGCGTTAGTGAAGGTGGGAATGAAAGTTATCCGATTTAGGTACGCTATCAAATGATCAGTTGATCACTGAAAGATGTCACTCTGATTGCAATTCATCTGCAAATATTGGACAGTTAAGGCAGAGTGCATCACGCAAGCTACATTCTTCATGGAAAACCAACTTTAGCGATTAATTGTTTATTGCGGTGTCGCTTCCTCTACACCCTTTTTGCTTCTGTTTTTTATAATTTATGTGTTTCCTCTGATATAACTTCAAAACAACCATATTAAAACAAAACCACTGTTGCCAAAACTACAAGTACCAGTCTCCCTAAACGTATGCTTTTTGTCTCAATAAACCTGCCTCCTAAAGCTACAGATGAATTGTTTTCCTGAAATGCGGCTTATTTAAATGTTTTGCACCCAGTTTTTGAAGATTTGACACCACGCAGGTGAATAATCTTGATAATCCAAGCTAATCCGGATAGGGTAGTTACACGTCAATTAAATATGCCCGGTCTACATTTTACGTTTAGGTGAGTATTGTCGGGTTCCAATATAAATACTACTAATTGCCCTGAGATCAGCGAGCGGAAAACAGTGACTGAACTGACTGAGAGCACAGGTAAGCATGAAGTGTTCACCGGCAAAGCAGGTTGATTGTCGACTGTGCAACCCGCAATTTCGTGCGTGCTGCGCGAGAGCACACACGACCTGCACTACACCACACTACATATTGGAGTTGCACATACGGGCGCCATTTTAGCGCTAAGAGTCCCAGACTTATCTAAGGGGTTTTCACCTCGACTATACGGCCAATGCGTCTGAAATGCCTCCGCAAGCTTGTGAACTTTAAGCATTCGAAAATGTGTGGAAGTATGCCCCACTCTGAGAATGGGGCAACTCGACCGTGGGAAGAGTTGCTTCAACGAGATTTCTTGCAGTGCGCTGCTCAAGCTCCTACGGATGTCTTTGAGGCGACCACAAACATTGTGCTGATCTTTCGAATGGCAAGCATATACCATAACTGCCCTTCGGAACATCGGTTTGGTAATTCATCAATATAATTTCATTGTATAAGAATACAAAGTTTCAAACTCTATGACATACGAACGCGTGATGAGGATGATTTCGGAATGTAATTAAGTTATTAAAATACTTTCTAAGGTAAACCAAGAAATCGGAAGAAACTAAGAAACATAAAATGGTCCAATATTTGTATAAGAAAACGTTAACTTATACTTGAGGAAAATTACTAAGGTCTTCATCAGCAAATATACTGACGGCAGTGTGAGCGACATCGTTCTTCACCAATTTCGAATTGGTGACTTTTCTTCTGGACAAGCATTGTAACTTTAGTGCATTAGGACATCTAGACATCGTAGTCACGACTTTCGCTCTGTGGTGGCGTGGTTGCAGGACGCACTCACTAGCGCTTTTACGCATAAAAAGACACTTGCTGACTGTGGTTTGTTCTCCCTACAAACACTCTCTAGGAGACACAGTGACTGCTTTCCCTCTATATTGTTTGTTGTTAATTTGATTGATTAATGTGTGGGGTTTGACGTCCCAAAACCACCACATGAATATGAGAGACGCCATAGTGGAGGGCTTCGGAAATTTCGACCACCTAGGGTTCTTTAACGTGCACCCGAATCTGAGCACACGGGCCTACAACATTTCCGCCTCTATCGGAAATGCAGCCGCCGCAACCGGGATACGTACCCGTGACCTGCGGGTCAGCAGCCGAGTACTTTAGCCACTATACCACTATGGCGGGACATGTTTGTTGTTATACTGCCCTGATGCTCCCAATAGGACTTTCTTGTACCGCTTGCTCACACAATCACAATATGACTATCTCTGCTTGTCGCAGCTTCACTTGATATTGAACACCACCTGCTTTGCCTAGGCAATAAATAGATTCTTCATTGGACTGCTGCTAATTTTTTCCACACGCGAGAGAATGCTAACGCGGCAACTAAAATCCCGTTGTATAGTTATCTGGTGACAATACGTTAGTCTTATACTTTAATGGAATGGGATATCCCCTGATCAAAATTATAAACTTACAGATAGTACAGAAGAATGCATTTAGCCTCATTTCACCGTGTGATCAAGTCTCAAGTGCACTTGGTGTCATGCCGGACAAGGATTCACGCTAAAATATGTGACATTGCGTGGCAAAAGGAGAACATTGCACCAGTGATAAAATGATAGAAATTGCGCCACCACTGAATAAATTAAAACTACCATTGAGTAATATGAATTCAGTCAGTATTTAAAATCCTTATTAGAGACGACATTAATAAAGTGTGCTACTAGATGGGTGCATAGACTCGCCTTAGAGAGTTGTAGATCGAGCGATGTTTCCAGGGTACTCACAGTTACAGATGTGATCTTTTTTGGCAGAAGCGCGAAAAAGCAGAGGACAGTCGCAGCATGTGAACTACGGAACAGTGTGTTGTTTGATCAGCCACGGAAAAATGAACAAGATTGGCTGCCCATGCATTGATGCATACATACTCACGCCAGGTTTAGATGTGTGCTAAACACGAGGCGTGGCAAGGGAGCATTCGAACACGCTCTTGTAGGACTCGAATTCTATTGCTTTGAAACCGTAAAGGTGTAGCTCAGGGAGCGTACACTGAAATTTTCCTATACCATTGGCCAAAGCATAGTATTGCGACTCACGTACCACAGCTGGAAGGACCTCCAGTAGGAGTCATGGCCGGAGCATTCATAACGGCGCGTTCAAGAGAAAGAATACTTTTAAGTACAATATTCACAACGCTCGACCACAGTGAACAGACTCGGCGCTCTTCGTTGCACCAAAATATAGTCGAAGGCTGAACTCCACCCTTTATTTCTTTCACACGTTTGTCGAGATACTAGAAATCTTACAGGACTGCACAGGATTATTATGATGAGCATGCCTGGCTTCCAATTCAATGGCCAGTTGACGAATGGCGAATGACACCGCGGTACACCCTTTTGTCCATAGCTCTTTACGCAAAGGTGACAAGAATGATTGTATGTTTTCGACAGCTTGGAGAGGCACCTGCTCAAATGACGAATTACCAAATAAGCATATACGTAAACTCTTAATAAACAGGTAATCGCAGTAGCTGAGACAGAAAATTAGAACAATGTCGAAGTTATGCACAATAACGCTCATTCTGTCTTATATTTCATCACTTTGTTAACTAGTCACGACTTTTTACGCAGTCAGGTCCAAAATGTTTGAGGTCATTTTTAACTTACACTCGTGAAAACAGGAACTACAACTACACAAAGACAGCACGTGTCACGCTGCTCGAAAACAAATACGGCATGCGAAGTCGAATGAGCAGAGTATTGTCGCTTTATGTAGCGCGACGGTGCAGCGGAATTTTATGCTATATCTGAACCCGGCAGCACTACTTTGATGTCCACTCTAGTGACGTGCTGGTAGCTGCTTTTTACTATTCTCATCGTCCCAAGTACAAAGTTTCTTATTCGCAGAATTTGAAACGGGTATTTGTATTAAATCTGCTTCTGGCGCTTCCGGTTCTGGCGATTTTAGAGGCGAAGTGTGCTGTAATGCTAAGCAACGTTAGCTGACCATATTGTTATTTGATGAACGACCACTAACTGGATCGAACCAGTACCTACGGGGTCAGCAGCCGAACACCATAACCAAGGTACCAATATGGTAGTGGAGAGGGTGAGGGTTTGTATTCTGAGCCATGACAGCCGAATTTTAATAGAGACGAAATGCTAAAGGCCACTGTACTTTGATTTAGGTGTATGTGAAAACTATCACATAGACTACCACTACCTCATAATTATGTCGTGTTTGTTATTTTAATATAAACACGAACGTAAATGCACAAGTATTGTCGCTTTTTTGTAGCACTTCGCGAAAGAGGACAGTACAATGAGGATCGTAACAACCAAACCTTGCGGTTTGTCACGGCTAGGTTCGTCATGCAGCACGACGTGTGACGCGAGGAAGATGGGGACAGTGAGAAAAACAAAAGGCAGTTATATTGGACAAAAACAAACTATTGCACATACAGTACTAAAGTCGTACACGCACGCGGTTTACACAAAAAAAAGAGCAAACAGTCTCACAGTCTATGTTGTGGCCCGGTGCCTTGAAGTGGGACCCGTTGCGTACACGCATGCAGTCGTCTCTTGGGTACTAGGTCAGCATACCACTGTAGAGGGCATCACCAGGTCTAGGCGTAGCCGCACACGGTCAGCGACGTCGGCTGGCTGGACGTTGTCGGGAGCTCTGGTCTGACGAGAGCGCTCGCCGTACCGAAAATTTCCACAGGACTACTCACCAAGAACTCGTGCCTGGCCACGCCGACACGCCGTGCCCCGAGGACGTCAATGGGTCGAAGGCAGTAACCCGGCCTTTCGAACCTCGCGCAGTTGCGGGTTCACCCTAGGCTCCCTTGCGTCGTCCTGTCAGCGTCCGAACAGCTCGTTGGTTGGTTGGTTGGTTTCTCAACACCTTGGCGCAACCCACCTAGGGGGATAGGCCATGAATGGGATAGTGCCTGGCTTTTTAATTTAATTAACTTCTTGAAAGAGAGGGTTAAAATAATTAGTTAATATAGGTAATAATAAAAGTGTGTCATATCTCTAAAAAAACCTTGAAGAGAAAACATAATACACATAAAAAACACAAACAAAATTATACATAAAACAACTGAAGTTACTTATTTTTAGCATTCCATTCTTTTAGTTTCTCGTAAGAAATTTGTAACAGTGGTAAAAGCGCTCCTGTGGCTGAATCCAAATGCGACTGCGCCAAATAAAAGAATCACCGGAAGTGTCAAGTTTAAGCCCCACTTTCGTAGGGGTTCTTCTAGTAGATTTTCCCTTTGAGTTTTGAATTTTCGGCATGACAAAAAGCAGTGCTCCAAAGATTCCCTCTCATTACAATAAAGTACAAAGACGACGGTGCCAGACCCGACCTGTGAAGGTAAAACTTCAATGAGG